GGTCATCGTTTGCATTCGTCTCTGCTGGAATCTATGGGATGCATGTTCTCCCGACTGATCTTTGGCTTCGGTCCACTCACTGGGTCTGTCCTCATGTCTGTGAGTCCTCTATTCCTGCCTCTCTCTTGCCGTCTGTGGTGGAGGAGGGAGGGAGGCCTGCCTCTCAGCCTAGACTTGGTTTGTTGCCATATCTAGTCTGAATCTGTGCTGCATGAGGGTTTGGGCGTGCGAGATTCTGGTACAATCTAGGAAGCAAGACAAAAGTTCACCTAGCTCTGGAATATGTCTGGACAGGGGTGGAGAGGACTCACTTCCCTCCAGCCTCCTCTGCTCCAGGGTCTGGGACGTCAGCCTGCCTGGGACTGAGGGCTCTTCGTATTTACGCCTGGGTCTTCCTTTATGTCCCAGGGTGTCAGGACCTCACTCTTTCGTAATCTTTTAATATCAGAAGGCCTTTCTCTAAAGACTACTGTCTCTGCAGTGCATTTTCAAAGCCCATTTTAAAAGCACAAAATCCAAGAATGGTTTTTTTCTGGGTCTCTCTCTTGCAATGACCCTTTCTTGGGACAGTGGAGGCTGGGAGGTAAGGGAAGGCCTTGGAATAGAAAGGAATTGGGTCCGGGTGGGATGGGGGGACAGCACAGGGCACATCATCATATTACGTTTATTTAAAAACAAAACAATGAAGGAAAACTTAGAAGAAATATATCCCTTGTCTTTTTCCCTCCTAGTTTCTGCATTGAAATGAATTCTTCTGTATTAGTTTTCCAGAGAAGTTTTTGAAGATTCCTTTATCCTTTCTGCGAAAATGTCAGCCCAGTATTCATTTGTAGTAGATGTGCTTAACAGCAAACCTTGTTTTTATAATAACATCTCTGGTGTGCAGACACCTGGAATTTTCCCATTTGTTCCAAGGTACTTGAAGGGCTGATTTGGCTTTGAAATTTACAGCTGACATCCACTGAACTTGGACATCATCCTTCCATGTTTAACGCCCATCTTTCACCACATAATGACTTCCAAGCTTCACTGAACCTGATTCATACTCAACAAGGACGCTTGTGAGGGTGGGAGACGCCACTTAGTGGTTTTGGTCTCCTGCCACGTGTTTTGTGGCACCACTTGAATGGGCCGTTTAGTCATATTATACTGAACACTTTTTTCAAGGCTCATTTGGAATACCTGCTTAGGAAAGGTGTGGATTAGGTGGGGATGAAGCACTAAACTGAGCTGCTGCTTAATGTGGCATCAGTGTGCCAAGTGATGTCAACTCTGAGTTTCCATCTTTGGTGATTCGATGCAAATGAAGCTGGCAGTTTACCAATTGTTTCCTCCCCAAGCAAGGAGGTATTTAAAAAAGAAATTGTGCTACAGTTTATGTAGTTTATTAATCTGTGTTTTAAAAATAATTTTATTGCACTATATGCTACATCAAAATACAACAAGAGCTAGTAACTGCAAAAGAACTTCGATACTTGAGGAAGTGAATGTACTGAAAGTATTTTTTGCAGTATGATTGACAGCAGAGAGACCTAGCATTTAAAATAGGGGCAGTAAGTGGGAACGGATTCAATGGAATTGTAATAGATAAGCATGATATCGGGGGTGGGAGGGCAATAAATGGGGGGAGGGGGGTTGTTACTTTGTGAGGGTGAAAAGGGTAA